AGCAAGCATTTGAAAAAAGCCGGAAGTTCCTCAGGCAGCTGGAGATTTGTTTTGCTGAAAATCCTGCCCACCATCAAAAGATCATCAAAGTTCTGCAGAGCTGTGCAGACTGTCTCCCCCAAGAGATTGCAGAGGTAATCAGGCATCCAGGTATCTCCTTTCACTCAAAAACCCTGAGAATGCAAGTGTCCTGCTTCCCTGTTCCCGTGTGCTGCTCTTTGAGACCACAAGAGTTTAGTGAGTGCAATCTCCCTCTGTGGGGTGTGGTGGAGAATTGAAGCTGCCTCTTCAGGAGGCTTTCAGTGATCTGGCCTGTGTGAGTCTCCTCTCTCCTACCCCCACCTTGCTTTTATCACCTTGCAGGTGAAATTTTAGCTTAGTGCCTCCTACAGAGTCTGCCTAGAATTTTAGAGAAATATTTCTGTGCTAATTTGATGGGTGGGTGTGGAATGATCTCAATATTCATGAAGTAGTACCAACACAAGCGTAAACTTCTAGGTTGGGGGTCTAATGAGCCTTGATGTTCCATCTGCTTTGAGAAATCCTTCTCAGAAGAATGTGGTGACATGGAATGAAACGCTAATTTTTTCTGGATTTCTCTCTTTCAGCTGAAGACCCAAATGTGGCAACTCTTGAAAGGACACGACCACTTGCAGGATGAGTTCTCTGTTTTCTTTGATCACTTACGGCCCTCAGCCAGCCGAATGGGAGATTTTGAGGAGATCAACTGGACAGAAGAGAAGGAATATGAGGTGGAGCAATCGTTTCCCCAAGACCAGAAAAGAGAAAACCAGAGATAGACGTGTTTGAACTTGAAGGACTTGGGTTGAGGCTGATTTCCAGATGAGGGAAGCAGCAGGGTGGGATAGCTGTTGGGGGGACTGAAGCAAACTTTACCCATTTTTTTGTACAGCATTTATGTCTCTTCTAACATCGTTGAACTTGCTATGTCCTGGAACTGGGTTAAATATTCAGAAATTCATGGGGAAGATGAAGTTCGGTCTGCTGAAGAGCTATCACGATAGAGTAGTTTTTGTGTGGTTTTTGTTTTGCAGTTTGATGGGTTTGAAGAGGTGTCTTTGCCAGATGTGGAAGAAGATGACGAACCACCCAAGATGCATGCAGCCTCAAAAAATAAGAAGCGGAAAGAGATGGGAAGCCAGAGCAATGACAAGGTGGGCCTGGGGCATAGACTGCAGATCTGGACTCTGAGCAGATGCGTGTCTTAGAGACATGACAACAGCCTAAAAAGATCTGAAGAAAGGGGATCGAAATGTTTCCATTGTGCTTTGCTTGCTAGCACATAATTGTTTTATTTTTCCGAGAGTGCACAGAGTGCCGCTCGGCCTTTCCTGGCTCCCTCTGGGGTCACCTTCCCCCGACTGTCGTCTCTGTGCCGTGCACGTTTGTCAGCTGGAGTATGTCTGTTTCCAGGAGGTCGAGTGGGTAGATGGGATGAAGGAATGTTCATGTTCCTGCCACGAAGGGAGTAGCGATCTCAAGCTAAAGAAAAGCAAAAGGAGGACCTGCAGCCATTGTAGTAGTAAGGTTAGTTGATAGGCCGAGTCTTTCGAGTGGGGAGTGGAAAGCAGAGTCCTGCCGAGAGCGACCCTCCCCCCCCCATTGTGATGATCTGTCCAGCCTTGGGCCTCGTGTCTCCAAAATAACGTGTTGAGGAAGAAAATAAATCAAAAGATGACCAGGAGCGTCTCGCTCTTTGGAGCTCTGACTGCACCACCTGGCCTTCCCCTGCCATCTACTGCCCCTTGTTGCTGTGCTTAATAGTGTGAATTTTTATATTGTTTTGAGTGAAGAACAAGCTTTTTTGGTGGAAGATGCTTGTGTGGCCACTATGTCAAAAGAACGGTGTCTGTTCATAATAATAATGAAAGAGTCAGCTTTCTAAATGCAAACCTATTGCCAAGCTGAAGCCGTTGTTGGGGTCAGGGAACACTTTGGAAACAACGGCCGAGGTGTTGGGTTTGGGCTGATACGTTACGTTTGTGATTGTATGCCTCTATATTGATCTGCAGGTATGTGAAAACAGATTTTATAAAAATAAAGATTCTCAAGAACTGACTTCAAGCCTTGTTCAGCAAGAGTCAAGTCCTCGGCCTGAAGGGAAGGATTCTGGAGTGTCTAAGGAACCTGCAGAAGAAAGCCTGGAGAACAGAGAGGAGGGAGAGGATGTCCAGAGCAGAACAAAAACTGCGTCCAGGAAAGCGGACTCTCTGGCTGCAGGTACGTGAAAGTCTTGTGTACAGACAGGTGTATCATTCATCTCCAAACTTCACACAAGTGCAGATAGGTACAGGACTTTCTAATACAAATTCATTGAGATAAAGAGAACTTCTGATTTTTTTTTTTCCTTGTGATTGTCCACTCTGGGTGCTCTAAACATGTATATATCCAGAGCATTCCCTTCCAAAAAAGCCTCCAGAAGTTTTTCCTACTGACAGCTAGTCTAAACTTGTTTGGGTTTCTTATCAGGATCTCACCTGGAAGAAACGATTGCCTCCAGCAGACACACATCTTCTGAAAAAGTGGCACTGCCTTATCATCAGGCTGAAGAAGCAGGTGTCAGTGCTGTTTCAAATACTGCAAAGGACAATGACTCTTCCATCACTGGCCCCAGATGGACGCATCTACAAAAAGCTGCTCTCAAACTACCTCAGGAAACCAAAGACTGCCCTTACGCTGTGGGAAGCGAGAGTGAGGGACCGAACCAGCAACACCAAGGAAATGCAGACGCTTCTCTTGGGCAGAGCAGAGACCTGCTGCTGTCTCCTCGTTCTGCTGCAGTAAAAGGTTTAACGGGACCTTGTTCCTCCTCTGGAAAGAGTTTATGTCAGCGTGAGAGGCTTCATTCTGATCCAGCCGATAAGCTCGCTGTCTTGGGTCATGCTTCAAAACTAGGTGTGAAAGAACTTGGGGGACCACCTTTGCCTCTGGAAGGAAAACCTGAAGCAAAGCAGGGTTGGATAACACCGGGTAGAAAGCCAACACTGGGTAAGAGCTGCAGCTCACAGTCCCCCGATAATCGCATTTTGGAAGCTGACGATACGGGTTGCACTGGAAATTTTCCTGAGAGCAGATTAAAGTCAAATGCAACCAACTGCTTCCAGGTGCATCAGCATTCTGAGCAGCTGGAGTGCAGAGGGGTCACTGCCTCCCTGGACCAAAAGGAAGAGGAACAGCAACAGCAGCGAGTCACAGAACCAACTGTGTGTGCGAAGAACAGCAAAGTCAGCTCGACGGGGGAGAAAGTTGTGCTCTGGACCAGGTGTGTCTGCCTGAACTGCATCTTACATTCCTTGTGCATTTAGCCTCAGCTTTCGTATTTTAGAGTATCCTTGATTTTCATTTTGTATTCCTGTTTTCTAATGTCTTCTGCCCCCTCCCTCAGGCTTGCAGTGGCTAAAGTATGTCAGCACTTGGTTTTGCTGCTTCAATAACTATTGTACCGCTCTGCAGGGAGGCCGACAGAGTCATCCTTACCACCTGCCAGGAGAAGGGAGCCCATCTGGAAACCTTCCATGCCATCTCACAGAAGCTGGGCAACAAGACCGCGAGTGAGGTGAGGGGCTGGCGTGGGAAAGATGCGGCTGCTGCAGGGAGCGGGGGTGGAGAGGGAGGAAAAGGGGAGGTTTGCTGTCGTATTTGTGTCCCAAACTTAATTTGATGCTGCATCAGAGAAAAATAATCCCAACTGCAAATAAAAGCCAAAACAAACCCTGATCTGTTCAGTCAAAAATCCTGATGGCCACATGGTTTTTCTTACAACACTACTGTTGATATTCTAGCCTTAAATTTGGTACCAGAATTGTTTCAGTGACTGCTGCTTGGGTCTTCTACTTAAATACAAGGAATCTCTTGGGTTTTGTCTCTAAGCCCTCCTCACATCACAGCCAGCCTGGAATTTTCCCAACCTGCCAGTTTTTATCTACAAGTCAGCAGAATGTAACCATTCTTGTAAAGAAAGCAGAACAACCCAGTGCACGTTCATTTTTCTTTCCCTTTATGGCTGAATCTCGTGTAAAATGTGATGGTGGATTTTTTTTTTTTAACGTAAAAGCACAAACACCATGAACTTCATAATATGAAATTTCTATTTTGTACCACCTTTTACTGATGAGTCATCTTGGATTTCCCTTGTTCTTCAGGTATCCCACAGGTTCAGAGAACTGATGAAGCTGTTCCATACATCCTGCGATGGGAGCTCTGAGGATGAGGAGGATGCAACTAGTACCAGTAACACAGACCAGCTGTCAGATAAAGATCTTCTGCTTTCTGAGGAAGAACCTGATGACTAAGGTTTTTCTGGCTTGATAAGCTACTGACTGAAGCAGGAGAGTTGTTTGCTGCTAGACAGGTGCTGTGGATAAAGGAAGAATATTTGCACAGGTACTTAAGATAGCACCTTTTTGGTGTTATTGTTCATTTTCCTGCTACACTTCTGCCAAGCTGCACTTCTCCATCTTTATCAAAATCAAATGAATTAAGGAAGTTGTTAGTGTGAGAACATCCTGTAGAACCTACAGGAGGAGCTTCAGCAATGAAACAAGAGAAGTGATGGTTGTGGACACTGACCTCAGTCTGTGGGGGCCACCAGCCTTTGAAAAGAACATGTAAATGTTGTATCATAAGATGTCTGTTTGTGATTTTTTTTGGTAAGTTTTCCCCTTGTGTTGATTGTATGTGGGAAAGTTACAACCCGAATTCTGTATTTATTGTGTGGTCTTACTCTAACAGTCAGAGCAAATTCACTTTGAATAGTTTTTTTTTAAAAAAGGAAACAAAGCCAGCCCCAAAAAAAGCAGCTTTCCGCCTTTACAACACAACTGCAAGTAGCTGTACAACTTCAGCTAGCCTTCATTACCAGGATTTTACTGAAATTAAAAGAAAGCAGCAGTCAGGCCATCTTTAAAAGCCATTCCCTTTATTTTGAAAGTGATCTTAAAGATACTCTTACTCCCCCTATCTCTAGTAATAAAGATGAGTTAGTCCGAATCTGCTTCATCTTCAGAGTCACCTGCTCCAAACCCCGTTTCATAGCACTGGGACAGAGTCCTCAGCTCCTCTAAGGCCTCCTCGAAGTCTCCCTGCTCAACGCCAGCAGTGAAGAAGCTGGGCAGTCGCCGCATGTTCAGCTTTCGTAGATCCTTGTATAAGCTGGACAGAAGCGTGTACAGAACTGGTGAAGACTGCAGGGCTGCTAGGACAGGGATGCTTTCAACGGCTGCAGGGAAAAACGTGTTTGGTTAAACAGACCCATCAAAATTTGTTTCCCTACCCTGCTTCAGAAGCAGGCTGGGTTTTCTTCAAGCTTTATTTGAACTCTCTGTAGCAGAAGAGGTGCCCAATACTTATTATTTTTTTCGTGACAAACACTCAAAAGTGTTGTGGGGTTGTTGGGGTTATGTAGTAATTATTTTACCTCTGTTAGACCCTGCTGCCCCCCGCCGCGATCTCCTTCTGCTGCAAAGTCAGTTTAAGGGGTACATGTTACCTGTTGAAGAATAACTGGGAGGTTTGTCCAGGAGGAAGCCTTGTCTGGTCAGAAGTGGAGAAAAAAACTGCGGGTAGGGAGGTAGGGTACTACACGGCTGCTCCAGCACGTGGGATGTGCTGCAAAGACAAAGGTGAATAAGGTTACCCAAACCTTGCTCTACCTTCAGCTTCCAGTTAGTGTTCCCTGTTATAAAAAAAACAAACAAACAAAAAAAAAACTGTTACCAACCTGAGTGCCCCAGGAAACACTGTGTCTAAGTAATGATGCAGCACCTGCTCGGTGCTCTCGCAGGTGTGGAGTGGAGACGGGGGCTGCTTCCCTGGACGACCACTACAAAGAAAACCCGTTCATGGTTTTCCAGGGGGCTCAACTGGAACTGTCAGTGACTCAGCTGCTTTTTAGCTTTTTTGCTATAAAGTGAGTAGCATACAACCAGTGATCTTTCAGGTCCTTTCCAACCTGTCTGGCTAGAGCACTAGACTTTTTTTTTTTCTCCATTCAGCTGGCATTCCTAACAGAAGGATTAGGGATGACCTTTGTAGGAAATCGTTGCTGTTTTGGGTACCAGAGTTCTGAAGGGAAACGTGCAGTTCAAACGCCGATTACCTGGTGCAACTTTCCTTGCAAATTCCTCGTAGCACGACAGACTGAGCAAAACAGCGGCTGCCCCTTTGTTCCCTACAAGAAGACAGAAGCTTCCAGGGCACATCCTGCTGGTAGGCGCATAACGTGTCAGGGAGCGAGGAGCTGCGTAGGGCAGGAAAGGGAACAGAAGCCCACGCAGCCACAACCTACGACTCGGAGAGGGGGTGACCAGTCACAGTCTAGAACACACTGCCTGCGTACGTACGGATGCAAAGCAGAACACCAGCTCTTGCCTACAGCAGTAGCTCATGTAGAGCCGGAAGGATCCGAGGCTGCTGTTGTCACTGCCCTTACCTTTCTTCCTGAGAAGTTGAGTGTATCAGCAAGGTGCATCATGGAGCCCTGAGAGGCACAGAGCCGGTATGGAGCTGTGAGGGTATCGAGCGCTGCTGCCAAAATTGCACTGCTGTGGTAGTTAAGTGATGCCTGTGGAGGGAGGCAAAGGGAAGAGTTATGGGACAAGTTAAATTCATCTGCACCTGAGCCAATTTTTGTGTATTTAACTTAAGCATACTGTAAATTGTGCTTTTATAGAGGTTGTGTTTAACTGTTATTTCAGGTTTTGCATAAGGAGGTGAGCTGTTTGCTAGCAAATGATCTGTTGCCAGTTTTCTTGTCCGCAGCTTCTTAGTGCTCAGACAAGGCTGGAGTTAAGTACTCCACCCATGGAGAATAATGCAGTAAAGCATTTTTTTCAGTGCTGAAACTGAAAGCAGCACACCAGCTGAAACACTGCAAAAAAATGAAATGTGTTAATATTTTTAAGAGTATGAAAAAACTATGGGAATGAAAAGTTGGCAGTTAAGTCTCTGCTAACAGTAAAAAAGCAGGAAAAAATCTTTTCTGCTTGGCAGAATGCTAGCATGAAAAAATACTGCTAAAAAAATGTAGCTGCAGAAAACACTTTTAGGAAGTGGTAAAGCTGAAAGCCAGCTGAGCTAGGTGTTGTTTCTAGGTAAAGCATGGCATAGTACATACATCGTAGTTTATATACGGAAATGTCACAGGAGGTTGGGGCTTGAGTCCTAGACTCCCACTGAGCGACAGGGGGCAAAAGAGCGAGCTGTGGCTGGAGAGATGGACAATTCCCAGGGCTGTGTTCATCAGTCTGTAAAAATTCTTCTGATAATCCTGGGAAAGAAAATCCAACCGTTGGAATTTTAAAGATGCAAACAAGAAGTCGTCTAATCCAGGTTGAGCAAGAAAGCATCACTTGTTCTTGTTTTTTTCCCATTGTTTACTTACTCCCATGTTACTCAGGACCGGAGTCAAGCCCCAGGTCAGGATTCCTTTTCCCAAATACTCATCGTAGAGTAGTTCTGTCACCTTGGCACCAACTCCAGAGAATCCACTGTGTAGGTCACAGAGGACTTGAAATCCCTGTGTAAAATGATGGCAGCATCTGAGATTCTGCTTAATCTTGAACAGAAAGCTCGAAAGAACGGAGAGTTTGGATGGAGCTGCCAAACCTGCAGATGATCGCACTCTTCAACATAGAAGTGCAACCGATCTTCCAGCTCCTCCAGGCAGCTGGGATCCCGCAGGAGGCTTTCACCTTGTCCAAAGGCTTCCAGACACCCACACTCCCTAAGAAAAAAAGGAGGAAAGAAAAAAAAAAGCTTATTCTATCCTCTCTTAATTTTCCTTCAAGGCAAAACTAAGATCCTGTTGTGGACAAGAGATGCTGAACCAACCCTCTAGGCCATACCCATCGTGCATGTACTGACGGATGACGTAGATGCTCTTGGGATGCAAGTGAACGCTGAGGTAGTTGGACCAGAGCTGTATGCGGCCGCTCGAGGAAACTTCCTGGGAAACAGCGAGTTGCGAGGGGGTAGGAGATGTGCCTGGAACAAGACAGATGGGAAGGGGGAAAGGCTTTTCAACCCTGAACACCCCCTCGAATAAACAAAAAACAGCTTTTGGATCTCATCCCCCTTCTGAACGTTGTTGCTGCTCTTTGACCCATCTTTCTGTAAGCACAGAGATCTCATCCCTGAGTTTTCCCTCTGTGTTCACTCTTCTTTGGTGACAAGTTGTCAGCGTCCGAGCCCAGCGGCGTGACCCGGAGCCCTCGGGACAGTGCAGACGGGACAGAACCCGCACCGGGGCTCGGAACACGCTCACGCACCTTGGCCTGGAGCGCTGGGGTTC